ATAACCTTTTTGCTGGTGGACAGTAGTTCAAAACTTACTCACTACATAGCGCTAGTATACATGTGAAGTTCTCGCATGTGATATATCTCGAAATACTGACCAGATAGAAAGTTACTGTCTTCGAAAAAGTTGTTCAGGAGTTCAAAGCCTATAGTTCAGAATTTTTTCACTATATGGTGCTAGTATATACGTGAAATTCTCATATAAAATATCTCGAAATCCTGATCATATAAAAAGTTACTGTCTTCGGCAAAGTTGTTCAGGAAGTCAAGGCCTTTTTCCTGGTGGACTTAAGTACAGAGTTTTCTCACTTTGCAACGCTAGTATACATGAGGAATTCTCGCACATAAAATATCTCTAGATCCTGACCAGACAGAAAGTTACTGTTGTTCAGGATATTAGGATCTTTTTGATGGTGTACAGTAATTCAGAATTTTCCCTTTACGTGGCACTAGTATGCGGGTCATTCAGAGATATTTTATATGCAAGGATTTCACGTGTCTTTCAACGTCACCTAGTGAGAAAATTATGTACTTTCCACCAACGATAGGGTTTGATCTCCTGGACAACTTTGCCGATTACAGTACATTTTTAGCATGTCTTGAGATATATCATATGCGAGAATTGCACGTATATACTAGTACCATGAAGTGAAATATTCTAAACTACCGTCCACTAGCCAGAAGGCCTTGATCCCCTGAACAACTTTGCCCAAGACAGTAACATTCTATCTTGTCATGATCTCCAGATATTTTATATGAGAGAATTTAACGTGTATACTAGAACTACATAGTGAGAAAATTCCGAACTATTCTACACAAAGCAATAGGCTTTGACCTCTTGAACAACTTTTTCAAAGACAGTAACTTTCTATTTGATCAGGATCTCGAGATATATCATATGCGAGAAGTGTATATGCCACGTGGTGAGAAAATTCTGACTGAGTAACTTTCTAGCTGGTCAAGAACTCGAGCTATTGTATATGCGAGAATTACACGTATATACTAGCGCCTCGTAGTGTGAAATTTCTGAACCACTTCACCAACGAAAAGAGCTTGACTTCCTGAACAACTTTGCTGAAGGCATTTACTTTCTATCTGGTCAGGATCTAGAGATATTTTATACACGAGAATTTCACATGGATACTAGCTCCACGAAGTGAGATAATTCTGAACTATTGTACACTAAGAAATAGGCTTTGATCTCCTGAACAACTTTGCCGAAGACAGTAACTTTCTATCTGGTCAGGATCTCGAGATATTTCATGTTGTAACCAATTAAGTCAATCCCACGTAGTATGTACACCGTTTACGCGGTTTCCATTTACATTCTCTATTATCCGCATTTTGGGGGTTAATTGTAATCAAAGTTTAGCTTTTTTAGTTCAAAATAAGTTTTTTGAGGAATACAAGTTGGTTTCAGATCGATTGGCAGCAACAAAATGGCAATGGAAAACTCATATGTGTTGTACAACTTTTATGCATACCGTAAAACGGGGTGTAATTGATCAGCGGGGCAAAATTGATCGCTGAAATTTCTCGTGATATTTTTTCATGTGTAACATGTTTTTCGTTACTAAGCGTACGAATGTATCTTTGTATACATTGTAAAAATATTATGCATAAGTACAATATTGGGTATACTCAGCGATCAAATTCACCCCGCTGATCAATTTCACCCCATTTTACGGAACCTTCTTTGAAAATTTTCCCACCTAGACGGACCTAACAAATTCGAGATAGGAAGAAGTGACCGTCGTAATTAATTTTAGGCTCATAGGTTGAAAGAACTTCAGCATGTCCAAAATATTTTCGTTCCCATTCAGTGTGTCCAAAATATATTATGGACACTGTCCAAAATCAAGTGGAAGGGTCCAAAATATGTGAATATCATGATGTGAAAAGAATTATTTTTCGAGTATATATCAATAAATAAAACATCTAGTGACATTTTACATCCAAGATGAGTAGTTTTCGAACACAACCGCATGTAAATTGCATAATAATAATAAACAAATAATATTATTTTGACATAAACGTGATCTCACTTCCTCTAGGGGTCCAAAATCAGTTGGTTACCCTATTTCTAACCCAAATTTTATTACTAATCAGGATTTTTGTTCGATTTATGTTCCAGGATCACATGGAAAGGAGTATTTTCCCACGCCGTTTTCCAACTTCCGCGCGAGGACGCCCGCGCGACCTGGTGCACCGGCCACGGGGAGACGCCAATCGAGTTAAAAAAAAATACAAATTGTAGTTCAAAGGATGACTAATAAATGGGTTATAACATTTTGCCCACCCTGAGTGTTTTATTGCTTAAAAAAATTAATGAAAATGCCTTACTTTTTGGACGCTCAAAGTGTACTACCCCCTTAAAAAATGTTTAATAAAAATATAATAATATTAAAAATTGATTTTTTGTATTGACAAACATTGATTGTATTTGTTTTTTATTGTTTTAATGGTTTGTAAATAGAGGCCGAAATATGGTTTTATATTTTGTCCTGAAAATTTAGGTTTTTTTACACATTGTATCGCAAAATTAGCGATGTGTTTTCTACGTTTTGAGTAATATTTTTTAGAAGTTATCAACTTTTGGGTTTTCCCTCAATACTTCTATGCGCATAGACTACTTTGCGTCGTGACCATGTTACAGTCGCTATAAATCGATAGGAACGCATGGTAGTCTAGACGCCATTTTAAAAATTTTACAACATCCAAAATGGCCGAATTTTAGCAAGCTATTTTGCCTGGAACTGCAGTCAAGTCAAGGAACTGCCAATCCGCCTGGACAAGTTAGTGACTCAATGCAACAAAGTAAGTTCAATTTATGTCAAGTAGGGTGCATCATTTTGAAAAAAAAAAGTGTTAAATTTCGTATAGGCTGCCCTTCAATTCGATTCATAACCCCAAAATATGAGCCAGTGCAAAAAAGGTAAAGATTGATGAAGGTTTAGGTTCCCAAATGGTGAATTCGATATGTTTCAACAACATAGGTTGTAGCAAACAGGATTGCCAATTCATAAAAAAGGCATACTGAAAATAATAACAAATTTTGCCAAAAATACACAAAAACTGATAAAAACTTCAATAGCAAAAATTGTTCAATTTTAATATTTTTAAACTTATGTTCACTTGAAAGTTTTGCAAAAATGCTAACTTTTCTGATATTGAACAAAGTCGTAAAACATCAGTTTTTAGTAAAATTTATGAAATTTCTTTTCATAAATATTTTTTTTTGTTTCTTAAGCAGAAATATTTTTTTTTGCACAGCATAGAGTGCAGAGTTGGAGTATATTAGCTGAACAAGTCTTTATTTATTATGTCAACATGAGTCATAAGCAAATACAACGAATTCGTTATCAAGCAAAACCATCTACTGATGTAGCCTGGGGTCAAATTAATAAACCGTGGAAGGTCATCCGTTGATGGAAGTCGTATGATTGACAATCGATGAATACAATTTACCAAACGAGATAGTTTATAACAGGAGATCTAGAATACTGTTCAGTTTCGTAACATTCAACATCGATATCCTTCGATTCCAAATAAGTATCTGACCTTACCAATAGATCGCTCGAAAGCAAAAGTATCGAAACAGTCTCAAAAAAACATGCTTATGAACGTTCAATGCACTCGTGAAAAAAAAAAATAACAGAACCTGAAACCGATCAACAACAATCCGTACCTATTCCGGTAAGCGGCCACAATCACCACATGTCCGTACACTTCTTCATGAACCTTCATAGCCATTGGATAGCGGATCCAATGACGCACGCTTCCCCCATCCATTTACATACACCCGAATGGAACGGGTATTATATGGGTGGTTTTTGTTATTGTTGGATACACACACTAGAAGAAAAAAAACTACCGCCACCATTGAGCTTTGAAAGTAGTTTTTAGGACCCTCAAAGTTTGGAACGTTTTTGTTCGAAACCGCGCGGAACAACGGCCAATTCACCGCCGTCGTTGTAAATTTAGAGGAGTGCCGATGTTACCAAGCAATTGTGTAGAGAGGCTGGGCACGGAATTGTAGCAGCAGCGGCGAGATTTGAAGAACAGGCCAAGGTTGCAACGCAGCATTGAAGCCCTCATCCACTATTCTGTGCGCTTAATTAAGTCATGCTTACGACGGAGCCCAAGTTTACACTTACACAAAGTGTGACCGTGAATGGGATAATGATGAAACAACGAGGCATTATGGCAATAAAAATGTTACAATTATAGCACTGACGAACAAAGTGGCAATTAATATTATAATAAATGAAGCATAAACAACTGCAGAGCAAAGTTAACTGAAAGTGGTAATCTAATAATTGACTAAAACCAGCTCAATCTTTCGAAACGGTATAGTTTCCTAAGGTTAACGAGAAAAACGGAATCACTTACCTCATGATTTCTGCTGGTGGAATCGACATTCGTTCTCAAAAACAAATATCCAATCGAGGTTAATCCAATTTGAAACCGCTTCCAGTGTATTGCCACCACACTACTTGCGCAATTCCTTCTTCTATTTGCTTCTTATTTTCTTATTTTCGAACGGAATCTTGTTAATGCTCAAAAGCAACACCAACACCTTATTTTATTCTGGGTGCCACACCAAGTTTCTTCACCGTCTAGTCACTCATTCAAATCACCAATCAATGGGCAAACACACCCAAAGGTATTCCAGCATCCTTCCAGATGTTTGTGCCAAATCTTTTGTTCGCTGCAAACAACGAACCTCGTGAGCTTCTTCCGTGTGTAGCTCCTTTTAATCACCAATCAAACCTGCGAGACTGTTGATCAAATCACGTCACTTGTCGCGCGCTCACGCGGATGTCTCAGCAATTACAATTTTCACCTTTGTACAGCATACGGTAATTCACACCTACACGCTGCGCACTCTTTTAGCTTTGGGCAATTGCAGACCCATCCGACTATGTCAAACAACAACAACGACGAACTTGGTAGATTTCACTTCACTGTTTGGCACTTCTTATTTTTTTGCATGGATTTCTTTGTGCTTAATCATCTGATCTCACAACACTTGCGAACACCACACCGTGGTCAGAGCCGGAGAATTTCAATTGGTGGGTTTCACTCGTTCGTTTAACTTGACCTTGAGCTGCTGGAATCGCTAGTGCTGGTGAAGTATCGGTTGAGATTTAATTGAAATTATACCTGCAGCCACTCAATTGCCTATGTGGAGCATTGAAAACAACCGGAATGGTCATTGTCCACGAGGTGGTTGACGGTCAGCTGCGGTGGTTGGGGTTATGATCTGAAAAGAACGATACAGATCGGAGAATGGGTTAGATGAGTTTGGTAGCTGAAATTATGGTAGGTAAATCTAAAATAAGCTATACTGTGCAAAAAGCAATCGAACAATAACTAGATTTGAAACAGTAGGATAAATTTCTCTTATGAAAAGCGAAGAGAGAGCGAAACATTTACCGCAGAATGCCGTTAGTTTGACTAACTAAAATTTCAATTAAACGACGCTCATTTAGAATTGGTTGAACTGGTACCCCTACACAGGTGTTCAGTGGCGTTACGCACCTTTGTAGGGGTGTTGAACTGGTACAATTGAACAGTTCTCAATGAGCGCCGTTTAATTGCAACTTTAGCTATTCAAACCAGGGGTTCTACAGTAAACATAATGAAGGATATTGTAAAAAACAATGCAGAATGAGATCATCGATAATAATCATCAAACAAGGAAATAAGCACATCAATAAAGAGTAAAGCAATAGGGTAATTGTTCCAGTTATTGTGCTCGAGTTAAACTAAGGTCTAACTAAAATTTGAAATAAATGTTCATGTTCATTGGATAAATCAGTGTTGGAAAAATATCTCATCAAAGGCCAAGATCACGCTTGACTATCGTAGACAAAAATCAACAAGCACACAACTGTGGTTGATATTGCAAGCTGTGATGTTGCAGCTCGGAATGTCAAGCTCACAAAACTCACCAGCTGAAAATCTCTCCAAACTGTGGTGAGATTGAGTTTCATGATTTTTATTTTACACCCGAACGCAACCCCAACTTCCATAACGACTGGTAGCAGTCGCATCGTGTCTACCATCGGTGAAGATAAAAAAAAAGAGATAGCACTGTTAAACCTTCTCTTTCTAAGAAAACGAGGCGCCATGGAATCATTTTTGCGTCGATTCAACTCTCACCTTCAACTTTACACGTTGTGAATAGTCTCGCAATACCAAAGGAGCTTGTAAAATCAATATCAAGCATTATATTTTGCTCCAATATCAAAGTGCATGAATTCTGGAAATAAATTTCCGATAAAAAGAATGATAATCTCTATTTTAGAGCTGATATATTTAGCAGACAATTCGATTAGAGTTTGCTTTACAAATTGAGTTTCAGTAGCCCATATTTGCAAAAAATATTTAAAATTTGCACTGGCAAATCAAACAATGGCTTTGAAAAATGCGAGTCAAGATTAGATGAATTTATCGAAACCAATGTAGTTTTCATATGCAGTGACTGGCAGCGCTGCAAACTCTCGACAAAACACGGTGATATTGACAATTCTGCTTTGGTCACTCATTTGAGCTAACAGTCATCGTCAAGGCAAATCATGTCAATTGTCAATGACAATGTTGTCAGTGACGGACATGTGTATATTTTTTTTATTAACTGAATTTGAAATGAAGTTAAATGACTTGTAGTGAACAAGCAACTACGTCCTGAACTGCTTAGATAACAATAATGTGACACAGAATGCACGAAATCACAATAATCGTAACCAGGCTAATCTTTGTCATTGACGAAAAAATTCATGAGGTTTTGACGAAGGTATTTTTGAGGATCAAGTCTGTCAGTGAAAAACAATTCTGTCAATATCACGCGAAAGTCTGTCCATGACAATGACAAATCTCAGCACTGGTGACTGGTGACCTTTCAATGTAAAATAAGCAACAATATCAGAAAGACTGAATCCGGTCAGTAGTGGAGCAAGTATAAACTTACGCAACCTTTTTCCGCCAGTCTCAATTCATATTCAACGTGCATTTTACGAAACACAGATAACAATAATTCATTTACAAACTCTGCAAAACGAACACAACATCATACTTTTCGATCGTTTATGCATTCCACACTAAACTTAAATATTCATAGCCAAACCTTCACTTCAATGCTAACCATCCCAACCCGGCAACAGCAATAATGCCATTTCTTTTCACTTGATTTCTCACCCGCAATTTCACAAACGAAATCAAAAGCAGCTGAAACCTTGAGTCACTTGTTTGTAGAATAAAATGAATTTCTCCTGCGACGACGACGTCTGTGTACAAAAATTTATTACACCACCTCCGTGACTGTGGCAGCGGCGAGTCCCTTCAACCACCTCCGCATTGACACGTCCAACTTGCGAAATGCAACGCGTTCGTGAAAATAATTTCTTCTCCCCCATCGTCCCATCCTGTCGCAATGTACAATTGTACCCAAGACGTGGGAAACTCGTTTTTCCACCTTCTGATTGCCGCCCGAAAGCGAAAATCCACGAAAAGCTTCAACGTTCAACCATAGTCGGTGCAGACTTCCAACCATTTGTCTCTACAGCAGCTGTCGACTATGTACGAACGGGAAATCGGCGAAATCTCTTGCTTTACTAGATTTGTCGGGAAAGTGTTGCTGTGTGGAAAATGCTAATTCCCACTTCATTACAGTGGATGGAAGCAGCATGGAGGTCACATTTGTTTGCTGCCGGGTGCTAGGTTTGTTGGTGTTGTCAGTCGGAAGGCAATGACCGGTTTTTCGGAGGAAAAACCTATGTGATTACAATTAAATTCCCCCAAATGCACCGCGCTATGGTCAATGATGGCCGCGAGATGGTGTGTTGAAAGGGAAGAAAGTGAAACCACCACGACGACGATGATGACGGCCCTAATGGGTCTGTACAGCCAGAGCCGTACTCAGGATTCTTCGTTTGGTGGTAAACTCTTCCAGGGTAAATTTTAATGCATACAAAATAAATGCATTGTATAAACAAATTTCCAACATAAACCAGTTCCAAGAAAAGTCGACTGAAACTTTGAATAAATGTTTGCTATGGGCAATCATTCACATTTTGCCAAAAATTCGGTCGGTTGGATCTTGTAAAATTTTAAAACTGGCGTCTTCGAAAAATGTCATTGTTTGATTTAAATATTTCAAAAAGAATAATTCAAGGATGAATTAAACGGTCTTTTGACCTTCTATAAACAATGTCTCGTCCACGCAAACTATTAGTTAAACACCACCTTTAGGAGTTAAGAGCGGCATCGGATTTGGTACGTTGCGACAAACATGACAGTTAGACATTTGCTTCAGCTATCTTTTGGGCATAGAAACAAATTAAAATGCATTTTGTGGTCCAGTCTCTATAATTTTTTTCAAAGTCCATCTGTTCATTAAAAAAATATTAACTTGATTGGCTTTACCAGCGCGGTATTTTCGCAATTATGATACGGTATTTTTTGTACTACAGTTAACTCTCTATATCACAATATTGAAGGGACCATCGAGATAAAGGCTGACTAAAAGTAAATTGGTACGCCCCTCGCTAGCTATTGGTCTAGCACTGAATTTCACTACCGACACTGATATTTGTAGTAAGCAGGGTTACTTCCACTCACTTGCTATAAAAAAATGTTTTTCGGAATTATGAAATCATGAAATAGTATAATGCTTATTAGTACTTGTAAGTTACAAGAAGAGGTCATGAAGTATATGTTTGACACATAAAATCTGTCAATATTGCTTTCAGTGCGTCACAATCAGCGAATTTACGACTCGTGAGCGCTCAATCTGAGTGAACGCTCACGAATCACAAGATCGCTGATTGTGACGCTCTGAAAGCGAAATTGACAGGTTTTATAAATCAAACACATACTTTACACCCTCTTCTTGTTACTTACAAGTACAACATATCATTATAACATCTAATGATTGCATAATTCCGAAAAATATTTTTTTTTTATAGCAAGTGAGTGGAAGCAACCTTGGTAGTAAGCATAATATCAGGCTTTGATATTACTAACCATATGAATATCACTAGCGAAAAGTTGAAATTCTTACTTTTGATTAGGAATAACTCAATAAGTTAACTTTTTTTTGGTATAACCATTGCATTGTTTTAATATTACGAAGGGGTGAGACAGATTTACTCTGAGTTGCTTTTTAACTCGCGAGTAACTCAATGTTCCGCAATATTTAATCGACGTTCAGCGATTTTTTTCTCTGCTTACTCCGTTTGCTCCCTTTAAGAATATGCTTCTCATTTTACACGTCAGTTTTGTTTGTAAACAAAGTAACCCCAAGTGTATTCTTAGGCTTTCGAATAGCTTGAATATTACAGAAGAACCTGTGCCGGTGTCAGGTTACTACCCGCAAAAACTAATAGTTCCAGCCAGCTTTGCAGTTGTTCTTCCTTCTCAGCAGCCAGTCCCAGCGGAATGTTCAGCCAGAGCAGCCGCCGTCATTTCTGAAGCCGAAGAGGAGGAGGACGTTGAAGTAACCGCTACCAATGTTTCCGGTGAGTGCCATCCTCGTCCGGACTTCAAACCCATCAACGATCAACCGGACGAAATCGAAGTGAAAACCGATCAGGAAGACGAAGTACAGGATTATCATGAGACGTGATCAAGTTCACAAGATCGCATCGTCAGCGCTGTTCATAAAATAGATGGACCCGAACAACAAATTCTACACCTGGGCCGCTATGGATTTAGCCAACAAGAAACCGAAGAACACACGTATGTAGTGATGTTCTACTTTAAAGGAGACTGCCGTCGACGGCCGCAGCAAAATCACGGTGGTGTATCGCAGAGACGGAACTGTATCACGATCATCCGGAAGGCACAGAAGAAGCACCAAAAGAGGAAGGATGGATGTCCACCGTCAGTAGAACGGCACAGTGGTAATTCAGAGCTCAGTTCGCAGTTTCATCCAGCGGTAGTTTTCCAAGCCATGGGAACGGGATTGCTTCGACGAGTATTGTAGTACGTGCGGGGTACGTAATTTGCCGGCTTTTGAGTATTTGGTCAGGCAGATCGAGTTTTTCCACCATATCAAGCCGGACAAGCATTCGCCCTTGGTAAGGCAGCTAGGCAGCAATAGGTTCCGTTCACGTTCACAGTTGGTAAGGGTTGAACGAAGGTTATTAAGCAGAGATGATGCAGGATAATCAAATCAATCAATTTAAGTGTCTCCGAGTTTCGCTGAGTTATTGAGTTCTGTAAACATGTTTTTCATTTTATTGTTGTTTTGATTGACAG